GAATTTTGTGGTCCTTTTGACCAGTTTCAAAAATTTGTATGATTTGACTGGTCCTCATTCAAAGAGAGTGATGAAGGGCTGAAATAACAGTCTTTGCTTATAGTAATTTATTTTTCCCCCTCTGGCACAAAAAGCTAAATAAATTACTAAAAAGCACTACATAAAAAGGCTATTCATACACTGGTATCTGCACAAACTTTTTCAGCATGTGGGTCACTTTAGCAGTTAAAAAATGCAAAAATCTACATTTTACAAACTCACACAGAGTCACCCCCCCGCAAAACACAATTAATGATATTAATAATGTACTGCCAAAACAGCTGCTTCTCGTTTAACAGGTAGAGCAGCTCTGAGATAATCTTGGATTCAGTTTCAGCCTCAGTATATTGCAAGGAGTACAGACAGGAAAATGCTGAGTAATGACTCACAAGTAAATTACACTAAGACAGTGGACACCTGCTATACCTGTTTGAGAGCTACCACCTGAGATTGTTTGATGAAACGTGTAATGTTGGAACAGATTAACATTCACACTGAAACCGGTGATGACATCATGCTCTTATCATACTTGTGCATGAGATTACGCGTGTTCTGCTCCATCCGGCTGAAGGTGTCCCATTTCCTGTTTAGCCGGTCACGCAGGAATGAGTGGAAGATGTGAGTTTCTAATACCTGATGTAGCAACAAAGAGAAACGTGTAAGAGCAGTTAGCGTTTTTGTGTTTACCAGTGGGCGCTTTTTTAGTTTGTAGAGGTGGGAGTGTACCTTCTTGTAAAACAACTGGTCTGCTGGCTCCCTCGTTCTCAGAAATTCCTCGCTGTTAAAAACCCTGTGTTCATGGCTTAGGAAGTCCTGCACCCCACTGACACAAACCATCCATATACATGGAATTGAAGCAAAGAAAGAGAGGGAGAGTGATAAAATGATTTTAAATATACCCAGTTTGTATAATAGTAAACATTTATTTCTATGACATTTGCAAAGCTGTACCTGAAGATGTTGACCACCAATTCTAGGGCGATATTTTGTATGTGTGTGTTGAGCCGTCTCTGCCAGTCTCTGCGTTGAGATCGCAGAGCATTAGCATCGGTTCCAGCTGCAAGATGGCACAGCTCCAGGTCAAAATGAAGCTGCAGACTCTCTGCCCTGCACACAGACACAGACATACATACATCCCAAACATGTATTTTAAAAAAAAAAAAAAAAAGGACTTCATTTAAAATTCACTGCCTTTGTAATTTGATTTAGGCAGTTTTTAGGGCAGCAGTTGTAACATTTAGTTCAAAAGTTGATGTGATTCGAGCTGAAAGAGTTGCATGCCAAACCTCAGTTTGAACATATAATGCTTCTCTCTATAAACAGACATGTTATGCTCATTTTTAGCTAGGGTGACCAGATGTTGCTGGTTATGCTGGACTGCACAGAATTTTTATTTCGTGTCTGTCCCACATTTTGACTGATTCTGCAGAACAAGCACTTTTGTAAAGGGAAGGCTTTTTGTTATAATCAGAAAAATGTTAACGAGCCTAATGCATACTCATTAGGATAAAAAGCTTGTATCTACTTAGCAAGAGACTTTGAAATAAAATATATTTGTCCTGTTCTTACTAAATGAAAAGCCACCAACATGTAGAATTTATTGTATTGTATTTTAAGTTAAATATACCTTTTAGCATTGTTGATGTGTTCCACTTTGTCCCACACAAATTCCTGCATATTTAGCTTGTTGGGATCTGGTCACTCCATTTCCAACTCCATATTCTTATTTTAGAGCAGCTGAACATTCTAAACAGGCCCTTTTTCATCTTATACTGTCCATCTGCCTGAAATAAATGGTTTTAACTACTGTTTCTTAAAGGCCTCTTAATCTATGTCTACTTTCTTCTGATTGGCTGCCCCCTGGCCAACACTTCCTGTTCAGTGCCAACCTGATGTCAGCTTGACACAACTGTCAGAAACAAAATCTTGGCTCACAGGGATTGTGTTGACATTTGTGGATCTAACTTACTGAAATCTAATAAGAGCACCAACACTATAAGAGTACACAAAATAAGTAATTCATAATAGTTCCTTTTATTGTCACAGTATCAATTAAGCAGTCTACTTTTACATTGAAGCACATGTTTGTTACCTTGATGTAAAGCTCTCAGCTGCAACCAGAGGGATAGCAGGCAGGTCGACTGTTTCGCACCACGATGTCTGAATGCTGCCATCATCGATGTTCACAAGAATGAGGTCTTCTGTCTCCTATTCCCACAAATGAGCACATACAGACGCATATATTGTAGGTACAATCGGTACAGTAGAGTACAATCCAGCCTAACAGAAGATCTCAGTCTGACAAACAGACTGCCTCTGTAGAATATGTGGACTCAGCTTGAATAAAGACGAATACAGATGAGAACAAACAGCTATTGTTGGATACTGTATGTGAGCTCAACTGAGACAATTTACAAAGAAAATTTTAATTTATTATTTATTTTCTTCAATGTACGTCTAGTAATTACTGTAAAGGTTATTATAAGCTTAAGCTAAAATCCCAAAATATTTAAAACACCACTTCCTTAGATAAGAAAGGTTTCCACGATCTATCTGTTGTCAGTAAGGAAGGAAACCAAGAGTGTACTCCCTCATTATGGTTTTAAAAAAAAAAAGCACACGTAGACACAAAAAGCCTAATGTTTAAACGCTGATAACGACAGCATTGTACTTACTGCAGCAACCTCTTCAAAATGACTGATGTGACAGCCCATGAGGAAGGCAGTGGGAGCCATTATGAAGTCCAACATTCCTCTCGCCAAGACGGGAACATAAGGCTGCTGCCAGGACAGAGGCTGAAAGAGAAAACACGGCTAAAATATTTAGGAATGAAAAATAAGCCAATATGGGCACTTTAACACGATGTTCTTTACACTAACCTGGAGGTACAACAGCAGACACTCTGCAACAAGAGTGAGTCTGGCCCAGTCACAGGAGAACAAGACCAGTCGCTGCTCTTGGAGAAGGTAGGACAACACCTGAAGAGTGAAAAAATACTTAGGATCTCATATTTTCTGTCATATTTAAATGCTAAATGCAATACCATGCTGCCATATGCAGTACCTGGAGCAATACAGTGTGAGTAAAACAGAGGAAAGGCAGATGCAGGTCGATGTCAACAACAGGACTGTCCTGATCCTCTCTTGATGGAAGATATACTTGAAGAGGACGAAGACTGAAAGACTAACAAAGAGAAGAATTTTACTATAATGTTCTATCAGAGCTGTCTGAGACAAAGACAATAAGGTGGAGTTATCTGATGGAGAAAGAAAAGTTTTTCCTGACCACATGCAGCTGTCCAGGAGGGGGTAACGGCACAAGGGACAGCTTGGCTGAAAACTCCTTCACTGTCTCCTCAAAATCGGCTTGTCTTGCAGTATGAAGCTGGACCAGGAGACTGAGCATGTGCAGGAAGGAGGGCAAATGAAAGATTAATTTAAATGCACAAAGTAAAACACAACCAAGGTCAAGGTTATTTATCAACTGTATGTTCAAAAGAAGTTACCATGACAAGCAGTCTTTCAGGGCATTGTAGTAGGGGAACTTGGAGATGATACACACAGCAAAGGGTGCGTAGAAACGTGCTTTAGTTGAGCTTCCCCTGTGACCGTTCTGGAAGACACCTTCCTGACAGGACTGACACAAAAGGAAGCAAATGAGTAATACTGATTGTCTGCACTGATTAGTCCTAGCATGTCCTTCTGTTAAATTGAGAGTATGCATTTGTACCGGCACAGCTCTGTAGTATTGCACCACGACTCCATGGGTTCGGTTCCCAAACATGTCAGTAAAAACCAGGAAGTGATAACTGTCTTGTTTCTGCTCACTGGCTAACTCAAGACCACCTAGATGA